CTGTTAGTAGCACATCATCTTTCATTGGCACTTATTTCTTTTGATTTTCAGGTCTTCTTCAATTTTGTTGCTGTGGGAAAGAGTAACAAAATTTGTGCCTGGAACATTTCCATTATTTGCTAGCACTAAGAAAATAATTGTAGCAACAAAAATGCTCCTATAAAAATAATTTGAAAATTGCCACAATTTCATTGGCGTGGTATTACTGGAGTCTATTAAATCCTCCAAATGGAAATTTCTGCTGTAAATGTGAAGTACTTTTCACTAAATCCAGCATAATTACCCTATATCTTACATCCACTATGTATGCTCAGACTTGGACCACAAGTGATGCAGAGATGCCTTTGTTTTCACATTCGTATTTTTTCTTTTCAGTCCTTAATCATGAAAGCCACTTACAATATCCTTTTAGCTTGTAATACTTGTTTAGAGAAATCTTTAAGTTGTTTAACAGCAGCAGACTTTCTATACAGGAAGCACACAGAAAAGCATGCTGGCTGCCTCTGTCTTCAGGACACTGACCTTTATTCCCATCGCCTCCCAAGGGCGGGTCCTCCTTTTTTACCTGTGGTTTCTTCATTTTTTACTTTTAATTTTGAACATTTACCTACACACACCTCCTACATGTCACTCTGTGCATTTATCACCCCTGTTTGCTCTCTCTACCTCCACAATGGCCCAGCTTTTCTGAAAACAAAAACAAAATACAAAAAAACAAAACAAAACAACAACAAAAAACCTGCAGTCCCAGTATGATCCTTTATAAAAAATGGGGACTTTTTTGTAAAGAACAGGGAACACAAATTGTCCAGAAGCAAAGGAAAGCAGGCAACTGAAAATATCCAGAAAGGAATGAATAATAACCAGTGTCTTCAATGAATTACTATAGACAGAATTCTGTTCTCACACATGTGTGCTGCAAACACACAGACACACACACACACACAGAGACTGACAGATAAAGACAGAGACACATAAAGAGAGATAGAGACAGAGAAACATAGAGAGCCAGACATACACACACACACACACACAGACAGACAGGAAGAGACACACAGAAATACAGAGACAGAGAGGCAAAACTAGGGCCAGCAACTTACTAGAAAGCTTGCCTGGGTTGGTCAGGTTAGAAGGTGGAAGCCAATAGCTCTTCCAATATGAACAGAAACAAATATATTTTATGGCTACCAGTTATGCATTCAAACATGCTATTTTGCTATACAAGGTGCTATGAGGAGCTGCTATCTTGTCATAATTCATGTTCATTGTTCCTCTAAGTAAAATATGTGTTTCTTGCTAGTTATTCTGTGCAGAATTGCACTTGAAAGGCAAGAGGACATTTTTGATAATGCACATCTTAAGACTTTTCATTCAAGTATCAAATTTAAATTCTACCTCTTTGTGCATGCTGACATTTTTTGTCTGGCATTTTCATTAATTTTGCGACATACATAAATGTAGCTGAAATGTTAACTGATCAATACTTTGTCTCTCTCATGTAGCACCAGGGTTTCATTCCCCAAGGACCACACAGCAGAACAGAAATTAAATGTGTAAAATATCAAATGGTAATGTTAAACACAGCAGCACTTACTGTATAACGACAGAAAAGGCTAAAACAATTCCAAATGGACAGATGGCACCACAAATTATCTACAATCACATTTAAAGATTAAAGTTGGTCCTGTAAAATAATTCTCTGACGCACACTGAAGTGTGTCCTTTTGCGGATAGCCCAGTTTTCCAATTATTTCTGTGCTCATTACAGTGAGAAATGACAGTGCTGAAAAGACGGAGAGCATGCTCACTCCCTCTTCTTTTCTTTTGCGCCCACTGACTTCCACCAGAACACAAATGTCTGGTCAAGAGCTTGATGAAAATTAGTTCAATCTAAGATATTTCCAAGTCTACAATAGCTGATTCCTAGGGACAAGTAGTGCCTTCTACCACCACATACAGCAGAGGTACCTTACAAAAATAAGTCACAAAACTTAAAAACCAAACTCAAAGCAGTCAGTAACAAGGACCTTCCAGAAGCCTGTTAGCTTTACTTTGCCATTCCCCACTGGTGTTGTCTCTATTGCCTGCAATACAGGTAGTGCTGGGGGGGGGGGGGGGCTGTGGCTGCTGTGCATTTGCACATTCACTGACACTGAGATGCAAAATACGATTGTCTTCTTCCAGTTTGACCTCACTATTTTGCATTTGTTTTTCAGAGAATTGAATTAGAAGAGAAAACCAAACTGGAATAGAAAAAGAAAATTCATATTCATTTAAACATTAAAAAGCATACTGATCTGGGCCTAAAACTAAACCACATAATGGTACAAATGCATGTCCTCCATGAGGCAGCTGCAGTTAGGAAAAAATGGTCCAAATGGAACCAATATTATAATAATAGACCCATGATCTGTCAAGAGGGCATGATGGGAACAATATGTCTGTAACAATGGGCACTGCTTATGTGCATCTAATGGAAATCGGTTTTTTTCAACAAATTGCCCTAATAAGGCTTTGCTTATGCAATGACAACTTCAAACCATTTCATTTCTAAATACCTCATTTACTCCTTCTTATATAAGAGGGCTAAAATCTATCACAAAGTTTTTTTCTGAATTATATTACAATTATAAGGTATATATCTTAAAGGCTTCTATAGAAAAGACTATCTACTGTGTGTGTTATGAGTCTGAGTTTCTTCATCTATATGCTAGGAAAATGATAGAATCTAGATTATGAAGTTGTTGAAAATATTAAATTCTTAGTGCAAGAGCATTTTTATGTATTTATGTATGAACAATAGCTCCTTGGCATATAGGAAGTACCTGATAATTCTTGTTTGTGCGAATCTTTTTATATCAGGATACAATCCATGATAAATTGTTAATAAGAAATTTTAACAGACTTTTGGGTTCATGAAGAAATTATGGGAAAATTGCTTTGATAGTATTAACATATTCTTATCATGATTCAATAACCAGATTTATTATACCAAACTCTTACTTATTTGGAGTTTCTCCACATAAGAAAAAATTTCAGATTGGCAGCCTCATTCAAAAGTTGGCCATTTTATATTGGAAGTTCACTAACTGCTAGGTACTCTTCAGGTGATGGGCAAACAGCATGAAGACAGCAGAGTTTTCATCCCTATGGACTCCCAGTTGGAGTCTAAACAAAGGAAGTTTGAGATTCATTACTTCCATCACAGTCAATAAAGTGCAGTAACTTTTTTTTTTTTTTCAAAGAAATGGTTAATATTGTTTCTTCACATTGTGTCATGTTTTTTCCTGTTCCATCCTTGTTTTCAGTCCTATTTCCTGCCTTTATTGTCCCAGTGTCTTTTCTGGACAAGTCCAGGCATGTTGTTTCCTAAGACTGAATCTGTTACAAACTGGTTCCTGGCTAAGGTAGATCCAGCGTTTCCCACAGTGCTTTGCTTCCTTCTCGTGACGTGACTGTAAGTGAGATTTCACGTAGGTAGCTGTTTCTCAGAACTTCACTTGCTTCTTTTTTAAGAAGCAAAAGAAGTCTGTGAGAAGGGCTGCCATCTTGAATTAACTTTACAAATGACCTTAGGAAGCTGGAAGGAATTTGGAGACTCACACAACATGCTGTAATGCCAAATGATCCATAGTGAATGTTCCCGAATAAATGATATAATTATATACATTTTTATGTTTTTAAATTTCACAAACAGCTGTGGAGATGGTTCTAAAGGAAGCTAATCAAAAATGTCAGTAGTCATTTTTAGTAGTTTTATTGTTATTTTAAGGTCCCATAGAACCTGAAAGTAATGATTTAAAGTATATGTAGAAATTCCCTATCATTTTGTTTACCATTGTAATGTCTCTATGCTAATGAAAAATCAGAATACCCCAATATACCTATTATGTGAGAGGTAATAGAAGAGTATAGAGAGAGAAGAACTTTTTTTTTTTTTAAACAATGATGATGGCAGTCACTTTCTTTAAGGAGACAGCAACATGTCTATGGGAAGCAGACTGCTAACTTTCTGGTAAGTTACAACACAAAGGGACATATGCAGTCTTTGTTCATGTGCTCAGACCTTAGTGAAAGTCCTATACAAGGCCTCTGTAGAGGATAGAGGCAGAGAACTAAAAGCATACAGTCATTTGAATGGTAATACTAAAAGTTGGTTGTTTCTCTAATTAAGGCCTTTTGTTAAGCCCTCACAATAATACCATATTTTGCAAAACCGGCAACTTAAGGGAAACATAAATTACTTATTTCCTAACAAACATAAAATAAAATAAAGATGGACTCCACAAATACTTCAAGTAAAACACCATCCAAGTAGAAATAGCATGTGTGTAGAGGATCCTGGATAGGTCAAGAGGAAGTGCCTTTTAGATTTTTCTGCCACTCAATATCAGTTCTTAAATAATCAGTGTAAAAGGGTACAGGATGAACCTTGTAAAGGGAATATGTGCGTCGATTACATTCTCATTTGTGACTTTTTAAAAACTGGAAACCACAGAAGCATCTCTTAAATAGGTCACATCCCTTTCTGCTTGACTTACATATTAAAGCCTTACCAACCAGCACTGTACTGTTGGTGATGTTCCTATCCTGACAAAATACTTACAGATGAATAAAATCGAAGTGCTGGTGGTCAAGGCCGTTACCATTGTCTTTTTTTTTTTTTTTTTTTTTTTTTTTTTTACACAGAGAACTTTTTTGGCTCTCCTATTGGGATCTGGAATTGTACAATATGCAAAATTTTACTTTTTATGTGTCAGAGAAAATTATACTTTGGCTGAGATGTCTTGCATTCCGGAAATCTGAGGAATATATTCTTGGATTCAGGCCCTGAACAATCCATCAGGTTCCTGCCCACAGCAAATCTGTCCAGTCAAGTCTCAAAATAGGATTTTAAAATGGCTCTATCAACATAACTGTTACTATAGCCACAGAGACTTGGAGCTAAGATTGCTGAATGTGATGAATAACAATGGACGAGTAATACAGTGAGATCATACCACAAAAGCAGCAAGACTCCTTGGGGGTGAATCCCAATCAAAGCAACTGTTAACGTAGTACGCAGCATTTACCAGCACCATGACACAATGCTTTGTTCTGATGAAGTTTCTCAGAAGCAGCTATAAGGAAAATGAAAATTGTGTTAGAGTTCATAAGACTGGAAACAACCAAATATATACTGCCTGCTTCTTCAAGCCTGTGGTGAGTTAGCATGGAGCCAGAAAGGCAAAGAGGTCACAGAGACATACCAAGTGATCTGGCCCACTAGGTAAACAGAGGAAGCATTAATGAAAAGAGTGCAAAGAACTAGATGGGATGAAAAAAAACATACGTTTAAAAATAATGTTTTTATGTAAGCTCTATGTTTGTCCATAAGAAAAACATCTGATACTTACAATATGTGGGACCCTATTAATTCTGAACTCCCTTCCTTTTAAGATGATTTAAATGTTTTAATTTCAAGATGCTTCAAAGTGAATTGGATACCTTGGAAAGTTTTGATTTAGAGTCCTAGAGAAAAGCTTGCCTAACATGTCTTTTTTTGAAGTACTGTTATTTCCAGGACTTGGCCCACTTAGTAGGACTGCTCCTGTCTTCTAATCATCCCTTACTACACATTAAATCCATCCTATATTTTCTCATTACTTTCCTATGGTTTTAGAGTTAGGAAACTTTGATGGTAGTCAAGTATGGTGTAACATCTCTTATTAGGAAAAAGTATACATGATAACTGGTGTAATTTAAGTTTTAAACAAGCAACTATAGAATGCTATTAACAGTAAAAAGAACATCCATGAACTGGATAATGGTTTAAAAAGTTACATACAGAAATGTCTGCAAGTTAATATATTACTAAATAAATATATTTCAGTATCAATCCAGTCTTTTAAAGAAACAGAAACATAAAATTGAGTTCAATGAGAAAAGTACACATGTAGAAAATATGCATGTATGTGCAAGGTAGTTATAACACATTTTAAAACTGAAATTTTGTTTAGCCAGAAAGTCTCCCTGTATGTTTCCCTTCTTGCTTCGTAGCACATTTTTAATAAGAGCAATATTTATTATTCTTATCTATAACTATAGAAAAATATAATGTTTTTCTAGTTAGATAAGTAGTTCATTGTTTAAATGCCAAAAGTCTAATTTTGTGGTAAAGTTATTAGATTAAAAATAAAAATATTTTAAGGTTTCTCATGGCACAGAAAATTACCAAATATTTTATAGTAAAAGTAAGCTCAGTAACTTTATAGCCACAATAAACACATCGTATTTAGCTTTGTAAACTGTATCAAACATTTAAAAAGGGTAGGCAACACTTTTTAACTTGATATTAAAGTAAATTTTAAGTTATTATTGATAAATGCCAAGCTTAATTTATGCAGCTTCATAAAAGGAAGAACAGAATTCCTGGTTTTTTGTTTTGTTTTGTTTTGTTTGTTTTAGTAGAAAATGTAAATGAAACTTCACTTCTGAATGTTGTTAAAATCTAATTAAAAGATCCCCCCTCATTGGATTAGAGAGAAGGGCTTCATTCGCTCAGCACACCTGCATCATACCTGTGGGTGGTCTGTGCACATATTTGAACCTCAGGATTTGGCGGTCTCACTCACACACGCCATGACAATCAAATTGTAGTTTATGTTCCAAATGAGCATTCTCTGGCTGGTGCATAGCCACATGTCCATCGGATGCTGGACTTACAGCATCCCTTCTCCTTGCTTACCACCCCCATTTCATTTATGATTTTGGCTTTGCCTTTGTTTGATCTTTTTAAGAAAGGAAGAGAGGAAAAGAAAGGAGAAAAAAACAGCCACTTTCAATATGTAGGTAACTAAATTTACAAGGACTTCCCCCCTCCAGACCTCTAAGGTTTATTTGAATTTATGCTGATGTTTTAGAGAATCAATCAATTCTTCCCAGAGGGATTAATCTTTCTTTCTTTCTTTCTTTTTTTTTTTACCTGTTTGGAGAGCCTGTTTTCCTCTTCAATGTACTTCTGTTCTTTGGGTATTAATGTTCGTAAGCTGGCTTTCACCTATATATACATCAACACATGTGTCTGTTATGGGTTCATATATTACAACTGTTTACAAGTTTTGCATGCAGTTCAATTTGCAATAATTTCTAAAGTTTCAAAGTCCTGGCTGCTGTGCTCATAAAATATAAATGTATACAGTTGCATATGCATGCGCGTCCCTCTCTCAGGCAGGCGGCAGGCAGGCAGGCAGGCAGCAGCCGAGCACACGGCAGCGGCAGCAGCAGCAGCAGCAACCCCACTGTAGCAGAAAGGGTGGGTGCACCAGAAGCATATTCTCCAGGATACATCAAGGTTTAGAGAAAATGTGAAATGACAGAAACTCTCTACAAATCAGGAACAAAAGCTTTCATGAAACTGAACTCTTTAGCAGTACAAAAAAGCCAAAGTTAAGACTTACAGCATTAAAAATCACATCTATTTCAAGATAGATGACCCCCTTTGTTGGCCCTGTCAGCTGCTTGTTTTTCAGGACGTAGGCTTTCTGTTCACCATTTTGAATCTGCGGGAAAAGGACATGACAGCCGTCTGTCTCACGGTCTCCACTGAATACACTCCCCCAGTGACCTTTGACCCCCAGCTGCTGAAACTGACAGAGAACCCAAAACAACTGTGGCAATTCTGACAAGTACCTGTTCATTACCAGGATCAAGTCTGTCAAGAAAAATTAACTATCATGGGATTCAACATGGCCGTGCATTGAGTATGTTAAAATTTTTAGTGTTCTTATTACAGACCTTGGTTGAGAAATGACAGAATAGAGCTGAGTTGTTTTTTTTTTTTTTTTTTTTTTTTTCCTTGAGCAAAAGCAACACAGAACATTGTGCCAGGTGAATAAAACTTACAGACAGCAATGGTATAGCAACTCTGCCCAGAAAGTCGGCACTCCGGTCACGGTCTTCATCATAAACTGTCACTTCCAGGACTGAATGGATGTCTTTAATGTTGCTGCGTAATAAACACACCCAATAAAAAAAAAAAAAAGACCCCATCAGTATATAGGAAAGCTAGATCCGTTTTGAAATCTCAGATCGCACTAGCTGTTTTTCTGTGTCTTTATTTTTAGGTGTATTATTTGCATGCATACATATATATGTACAGGGTAGGGTGGAAGCGGATAATTTCTCATGATGCATCTAAGATGACAATATCAAGGGTCATATCATATGGAACTTTGAAGACTAATGCAACTTTCAGTTATATTTTTAATGACATATCATTTTTGATCTGGATATGCAAAGAATAAATTACTGGAAAATAATCACTAAGTACTTCGGTAATCTTTAGGCTTTCTGTCTCTTCTCATTATAATAAAGCCTGCAATCACATAACTCCTACATAAAATGCCACAGGTTTGCTATCAGTAGGACTCACAATAGATTTTTGAACTCTTACTAGCTTTACAATACTATGGCATATCTATTTTCTGAAGTTCTTACTAATGCATTTGCTAAGTTTCTGTTAGGTTTGAAGCAAAAAGAAAACAGAATAGAGAAAATGTAGCATTTGTGAGCATAGTATTATCCTTGGATTTAGAAAAAAAGTTAAATTCCAATAAGTTCTATAGACAACACATGATAATAAGACTGTGTGAGTTCTTCATATTTTTTTGTTTCAAGAAAAGTCTCAGTTGTTGACAGCATTTATTTTTTGATCAAATTGATTACCAAAAAATATGAATTAAAAGAAAACAAAAAAAGAATGTATTCATTACCGAAACACCATAACTGCACGTGAAAAGAGGCTTCACCGGGGTACAATCAATTAATCGCTTTGATAATAATCAAACCTATTCACTCAATTATGCATTCTAGAGAAAACACTCTCCATGGCCCTCTTAGGAATGCAAGCCTCCTGACTAGGCTTTCATCTCTTATAAAAATGTGGAATTCCTTAAAAATAAATTGGTCATATAATTAAAGCTGATTAGTTACTGGCTCTTAAGCAGAGACATTAGAAGGAATTAATGAGGAATTTAGCAGTTTTTTATGTACAAGAAATAAAACCATGTTAGAAAACTGTGAAGTACTTCTGTTCTGAGAGTTTTCTTTGTGGAGTCCGTTCTGTATAGCCCATTTTTTTTTTTTTAAAGGAGACTTGTAGGCCACTATAGTGCATACAGCATGCCCAGTTTTTACTGTGCACAGTGGAAAAGATTTACATACTTTTTAGAACAAAAGGAAAATTAACTCAAAGGTTGTTTTTGAGATCCGGACAATGCTTAATGTATTTATTGTGCTAAAATGAAACAAGTCCAAAATAGGTGTCTGCCAGACTCGACTGGATTGTTTGCTGATTTCAGTGATTGGACAAATAGAGCTTTGTCCTTCTTGGTGGCCATGCAATCGGGAAGATTTCAATAGAAAGTACAAAATGAAGAAGCAGTGTGCAGATTCAGTGATGGGAGCAAACTCTTAGTCAGGCCGCAAGAAAAGCACAGTGGGAAAACAAAAAAGTCTAGTGAAATCAAAGAAAAAGAAAAAGGACATACCTGTTTCCCCAAGTTTCATTCTTGAGAAGACAGGGGTTTTGGAAATCCTTAGTTAGCAAAGGCAAAGCAGATGTGTTGTGCTGTGAACCAGAGAATGCACCTGCACACACACATGCATGCTCACCCCACACACATACACACACAGTCTCGGGGGGGGGGGGGCTGTATTTTCACACCAGTTCTAAAATAAGCACAAAGTGATTGTTGTACTTACAATGTGAACACTTTGTTCCACTCAGGATTGAGGTTTTTGTAGACAGTGTGTGTTAGCAGTCTATCATTGTTCAGTTCTACTACACAAAATGGATCACTCTTGCCTACGGGAGATTTGCAGAGAATGTTTTAAGCATACACAGCACCTGCACTGATGGGATAATAATCATATCCTTTGTGATCACAATCCTCCCCCAAAAGTTTTATAACAAACAACAAGTGAAAAAAAAGGTACAAATTAAAAACAAATCTCATCAAAATAGATGTAACTGGATATTAACCACTGCTATGATTTATAGTGATTTGGAATCTGAGACCAAAGTATATAGCTTGACTTTTGATATGCTGTAATTTTCAACAAAAATAATACTACAGCTATTATGGAGAGTTTGGTGTGCCCACTCCATTCTTTGGTTCTGTTATGACTGTTGGAACTACTCAATCACTTTAATCTTACAAATATGCTTTCCAACCTATGTGATTCACTAATAACTCACCATAAGTACTTCTACATAAGCTGAATATAGGAGAATGGATATATTGCTGACTAACAACCCTTCGATCTCACTATGGCTGAGTTACTTTCCCCTGAGATATCAATGGGATTCATGATAAGGTAAAGTGAATGAGGATACAAGGATGAATAAGTCTGCTGTTTGGATCTTAAGATCAACAGGCAGTCTGCATGCTAAGGAGGAGCACTTTCAGTTTTTAATGTTGTTCTAATGTTGGAAATAAAGGACCTGTACACAGTGACTCTGCTCTGCCATGCTCCAATCATCCATTCCATAGTTACATTTTGGGATGTCTTGATTTCTTTGTCATATCATGTCTCATTTTATAAGAATTCACAGAGCTTCTGGTTCTGTGAGAACAGTGCAAGTGGTGTTGGTGCAATGTGTAATTTGTTTGATATCTTTTACAAATGACAATGGAATCAATATTTAGACAAAGCTGTTCAGAGGTCATATCTTTTAAACTACAGTATTGATTTAGACTACATAAGAGGTTAATGTGCATATCATTAACTTTAATGATAAAGAACAATTGTTTTAAATGCATTGTGAATTGTAGCCACAGTAGTTTACACTGGTGTGAAACCTTAAATATCATCTCAGAGTTTCAATTAGATTTTAATGGGAAGGAATTTATTAGCTATCAGTGACAGCGAAGCTGTATATTCCCACACAGGAGTATATTTATTTGTCATAGGATGATACCTAAATGAGCAGTACAAGCTTCAACTCACCTTTACTTTATGAATTTTATATTGATAAAGATTTAGTATGCTGGTGTTAAGTCCGTAGTCTCATGTAACCTAACCTAATTGCACAATGTAACATTATGGTAGTTTCCTCAATTTTGGGTCTTGAGGAGTCTTCTCGGAAAAAACTAGAGAGCTGGTTAACTCTAATGACTGGTAACAAATTGAGCTATATGCTTTGCCCCTGCCCAGTTTTATGGGTTCTGGTTCTTACCTTTACTTCTCTAATTTCCAACTCCTGCACACCACAAAAGACAGTGTTGAAAATATCTTGTTCATTAAAAGACAGTGTAATTGGTTTCACTTGGGACTTTAATAACTTAATTTCTTTCATAGAGTTCTGAAACTAGCATGCATAGGTAGACACATAGCTTTTGGAAAATATTTACATGCAAACCGCTAGGCAAGATTTTCTTCAATAATAATGCCATCATTATAATAATCATCATCAGGGTACAGATATAAGGCAAAAGTTTTATAATTTTGAAGTCTTCATTGCTTTTTCACAACCAGTATGATATATGCTAGAGAAATAGCAATGTATAAAACAATTAAAATAACCCCTGTGCTCATAGATTTTGGATGGAAGATGATGACTGTATTCCAGTGTGTTTCAAGTGATAAATACAATGGTGGAATTTAATGATGTGAAATGTGATGTGGAGTGCGTCTATGCACAGAATCTTCAAAGACTGAAGAACATGTCTTGCTGGAAACAAACGACATAGAGACAAAGTAATGAGAGGTAACAGAGAGAGCTGTAGTTTGCCTGGAGGAACAGACCCTGAAAAGGCCAGAGAAGTGGCTGTGTCTGGTTTGCTAGCAATATCCAGGAGGCCAGAATGACTGAGGAAATAGATTGGGAACGTGTGTACTAGATGATTGGGGGTGGGGGATAAGGAAAGTAGTGGGCCTCTGAAAATTGTGGCTCTCACTCTTGCAGGACATGATGCTTTGGAGGAATTCGAGCTGAGGAGTGATCTGACCTGATGGCTATCTGAAGAGTAAGGGGGAGAGGGCAGTGGGAATGCTAGGGAAACCAACCGCAGGCAGTCCCCAAATGCAGGTGGTAAAAGACGACTGGATCTGTGAATCCTGTGAAAGTAGAAGCATCATGTTTTAGCAGTGCCAGTACTGAATACTCCAACACGTCTTACATTACCAGCAGTTGGAAAGCAGTTAAATGAACTTAGCGTAGTCACATTTTATCTGGGATTGTGGGTAGAAAAAACAGTCATCAATGAGCTTTATTTCTAGTCTCTAGAATTTGACAAAGACAAGAGAAGAACATTTGTTTAAATAACTATAGGCAACCGAGGAACCCTGAGAGTGTGTGTGTGGGGGGACTAGTCTTCCCTAAGGAAGAGCACACCAACTGGCTGTCATCCCTGAAGACATTCGTCTGAGGAAAACTGTACAGACTGATAGGCTGTTTTTAGGAATATATATATGTACATATATATATATATATATTCCTATGTAAATATATATATGTATGTAATAATAATTAATGAAAAAGAGGCCATGAATTTGCAAGAAAGCTGATGGGTATATGGGAGGGTTTGGAGAGAGGAAAGGGAAAAATGTTGCAATTACATTATAACTTCAAAAAATGAAAGAAGTAATAAAAATAGATAAAAGAAAGTTTACTGAATTTTATTCATCTTTTCCTAAAAAGAAATTGATGCAATGCTGTCTTTGAACACTATTAGTTTTCACTAACTTATAAAGGACCCTTCTGACACAGTGACCAAGGCAATTACAAACCACCATCAGCGGCAATAGCAAAGTACCGTATCAAATTCTATCAATTCAGAATTAAAGCACACATTAGAGCTTTATTTTTAAAGAAGTAGCTGTAAGTAGCATGCTACTTTGCCTTGATGCTTTGTTGATTGAAAATAATGACTTTTTTGTTCCTTAGCTTTTCAGGCTTTATTACTTGTCACTTATGCAAGTAGAAACAGAGAAACACTAGAGTTAAACCAAGTCATTACTCACATATTTCTTATTCACTCCTTTCATCTTTTTATCATTCTGTTTTGATTCTGTAGTACATTTCTCTACTTGCTAAGAGCATCAGAGTGGCTGGCCTCTAGGACAGAGTACTGATGCCCAGTAGGCACATAATATTCTGCAAAATGAATGTTTTTCCTCAATACCACATGGCGAGAAGTGTGAGAAATGAAGGCAGTAGTCAATGTTGAAGTGTATTTTTACATCTTGTAATTTTTTTACTAAACAAAGATCTTAATGTATGGATTATATACTCTATTATATTTTATTTTAATGTTTGTCCTAAGCCCAAGGCAGACCTGTGGGGCACCGATAGTCTCTTTCTTCACTTCTACTATTTTGATGACAAAAATACCTATCTCTTCCCTTAGAAATGTAACAAACTGTGGGATTTGAAATTGATGGATGACAGAAATTGTAGTAGTGCTGTGTGGTAGACATGGTGTTGATTGCTTTAACTGCGATGACAGCTAGAAGAGAATCCAGGCTTCCTTGAGAACATGGCAATTTCCAATGTTGACAATTTTCTAAAGAGAAATGGGAATGCCTTCTGAAGCATTCATTACTTATTGAGTGCCTGCTCTGCTCACCCCAGAATTATAAGTATGATTAAGACATAGTCGAGCTCTCAAGGCATGCACAATTTAGTAGACATGATAGACATGTAAATACATAATTATTACGCAGGATTGCAAGGACTGTAATAAAGGTATGTGAAGAGTGCAGAGGAGGCAGTGAGAAGTAAGCACATAATTTTATAATCCTGAGATGGGAAAGGAATAGGAAGCAGAGCTTTCCCAGTGGAGTGGACCCTTGTGATCTGCAATGATTGGACACCTTTGTCGTCAGTTTTTTTTTTTTTTTAAAGAGAAGAACCATCACAAAAAGTGAACTTTATAACAATTTGTAATCGGGAATATCTCATTTAAATCGAGTCACATATCTCCTTGATAGTGTCTCTGTAACATAAAAACCTACAAATGAATTGCATAACTCATAAAACAGACACTTTAAACCAGTATGCTTGGATAGTTTTCCATAATCTACCTAAATGCTAAAAGCCATTTCTTTTCCTTACAGATTTAATAAGAAAAAGAATCTCCCAAGTGAATTACAACTAGTGATTTTTTTTTACCCCTTATCATAAAGCTAAATTGGCAACAGACTTCAAAGCACATATTCCATCACTTCATTCTTTCTATAATAAATCTATTTTACAATAATAAAAGAGACACCAGGATTGACTCCAGTAGGCATCTTTTCTGGGAATCTTCAACCCTACACCATGGATTAATAGAGTGAGTTCAATGGCTAATTTCCACCTTTGCCCTTACCCCCAGGGTCACAACCTGACACACTGGTGGAGAACTGTGGGAAAATTTGCACAGTGCTCTGTTCAATTGCTGTTATGTGGCAAGTTGTGACTTCAGTTTGTCGAGACTAGTTATTTGAGTATTAAAGTCACTCAGTGATACTGAGAGATATTCTTGCTCCCAGAGCAGAGCATTACTACTGATCCATCAGTGGTGGGCTTTGTCTAGGGCCATTTTACTGCCAACAAAAGGCATAGTTTGCTAGATGTAGTGTGTCATGAAAAGTGTGGGGGTGGGGAGGACCTAGTGACCACCCCTTTGTTGTCATGTCTTTGAAAACACAGAAGGCTTTTAGTAGCATGAAAGCAATTCATACCCATGGGCAGGGAGTTCTTATTTTGAGCCTACCTTGCGTTTATTAAGCATTTTGGTTTAATTTCCTCAGTTGCCACAGTTTGCAATGACTATATTTTAATCTTTAAAAAATTATAATCAAGGTTGCCATCTGTCC